CAGTGTGCTTTTTCTATGTGCCCATTAAACCTGGATTATATCTGGTTACTTTCCCCAATAATTCACTTCCCCCACAGGTTTAATGCTGTGGAATAACATTTGGGAGGGTAAAAACTGAAAGGAGAAATGTAATGGGCATAATTACTTTGATAGATGAGAGAGCAAAAAGCAGGCAGGCAGCACGTGGTAGGAGCAGGCCAGCAGCACACACACTCGCCCCTGACATCGCTCGCCGTCCTCCCAGCAGCAGCGCTGGCCTGTGCCTCATGCCCCAATGTCCCTCCCCAGCTTTCTCTTGCCCTGATGCTTGAGAAGGAGAGCAGCCCTCAGACACAAGATAACTTGCCTCTGACATCAGCTCTCACCCTCATCTCCAGCAGAGATCAGCTTAAGTTGCAAATTGTTAGCTGTAAAATCTTTTCCTAAACTTTTGCCTCAGTTAATTATGCGATTGGATGTTCACGGTAGCTGTGGAAAGGGCCAGCTCCTGCTAGCACCCTGCCTTGCTTCTGGAGTAGGCTGTGATGGTGAGTCCTATATATCCTTGTATATGCTGCATAAAGGCTTTATTGCCTTGCCTGGGTTTTGAACAGCTTCATTTTAATGTTGCTGAATAACCCTTCATATTTCGATTGAGAAATGCCCCTGGGTTTCTGAGCATTGCCTATGAAGTCCTGCCAAAGGATTTTATACCCCTCCGAGATCCGTTAGGGAAAAGTAGCCTTGACAGCAAAGCTGTGTCTAGAGCTACCTGAAAGGGCTTCCTACTGTCAACATTTTGTACTTACCTCACAAATTCCTGGCTTTGCTTTTTGAGGGCTTAGTGTTAAGGATTGGGTATTATCAGGAAAGCTTCTGGAGCAATTTTACCCCGAGTCCAAGTTTCCCAGTAGCCCCCCTTCTTTTATATCTGTTCTTACCTTTGCAGAAATTCACTCAAGCGTTGCCTTCTGCCTGCCCCATTCTGCATCCTTCCAACGTGCTGGTTATGACAAAACACAGGGGTAATTTCACAAGAAAAGGGAGGAAAAAGGTGTCCTCAAAACAAAAGGATGAGACCTAATCCACTCATATCACTGGTGACCTCAACCAGATTTTCCATGCCATTTTCTGCTGGGTCTCTGGGCTGCTGCAAGCAGAGCACCCCACGCTGCATCCCCTGCAGGCAGCTGAGCACAGAAACACCCAGGCACTGCTAGAAAAACTCCCTCCAAAGAGCCAGGTCCCTTCCAACACAAGCACAGGAGCTTGAGCAGAACAAAAGCAAAGTGACAGGTGCTGCTAGAGATGCCTTATTCTCCAGGACAGTGTGAGCCCACAGGCTGCCCCAGCTGGGATAGCCGAACTCCTACCCTCCTCCCTAAGCCAGCCCACCCCTTGCCCTGGCAGGGAGGAATGCCACAGGGTGCTCCCTGCACCAGAGCAGCTCTCCCTGCTCTAACAACCTTACAGCTGCATTTGGGAGCAATAGCATCTCTCCTCCCACAGGTTCAGAGAGCAGGAAGCGGTGTAGCGCGTGGCTCCGGCAGCCTCTCCCGGCTCTGCATGTACTCGTCTTCCAAATACTGAAGCCTTTGGTTGCTTGGAGCCAGCCAGGAGGAGCAACAAATAACAGCTTCCTATTATGTGAGAAAGCGTGCAGTTCTGAACAGTTCACGGTGTTACTGTACCACAAAACACACTGGTAGGGCTCTGCTTAGAGTGCACCAATCCCTGAAACTCCTGCAGACAAGAAGGGGTACCACCTAGGGAAGATATTTTGTGAGGTAAGTAGAGGAAAGTTGTATTTGTGAAGCAGAAGAGTGGTTTTATTAGGACTTGTTATCTCTCCTTCACTGGAGGGGAGTGCTAGCATCCAATTTGTCACAAAGAAAACCATCTCCCTCTTCTAACATGGTGGCTTAAGCAAGGACTTAGATACTGGTGTTTTAGACTGCAACTGATCCTTTCATTTGTTTCTGCTCCTGGGGGCTTTTAGCAACAGCTGCTGGACTGCATCACATCAGGGAAAGGTCATCTTGATATGCCTCCTTCCCTCTTCGAGGGAGGAATGATCTGGCTTTTGTGTAGCACCCTCATGAATGGAAGCATCCTGTGCTGAAAATGGCTTTGAGGAGCGGAAAGTCTCCGCAGTCCGACTGCTCTCCAGCCTCCTCCCCGACATGCGCTGTCAGGGGAAGATAACACTGAGGCGCTGGCCCTGGCAGCCGCAGTACTAATCTTAGGTTGGACTTCTTAAATGAGCCCCACATTTCTGTTCTCAAAGCGAGGACTCACTGGTCCTTTCCAAAACATCTCTCTCTGGTGCACACTTCAGAGGAGAGCTCTTCGATTGATCCGACTGTGTGCCTTGCACTAAAGAGCCGCAGCAAACTTGGTGCCTTCCCAGGTACTTGCTGCAGCTTCAGGTTCTGGTAAAGGGATCCCATGTGAGGAGGCCTTTGCCAAAGTGAGAAAAACCCTCCAGGCTTTGGGTGTAAACAAGCTCCAGATTCCCTCAGCAACCAGGCAAACACTCATGCGGTTCTCCATCACATTTGCAAGGGGAGTTCTGTGTTTCATGCTCAACCCAAGTGAAATGCTCCCCCTGCTCTTTGTTCTGGACCGCAGGAGGCACTCTGCAGCTGTGGCAGGTCTCTCCCAGCCACGACTCAACAGGTTTATTCTGTTCCAGAAGAGAAAAGCTCTCTCAGAAAAGGTTTTAAGGTTTTGTGCTAGCCTTTCAGTAGTTACTGGCAAAATATATCCCACCAGCCTGCCGCATCAGACTTCTGCAAGGAGTACAGGTATAGTTTTGCACTGAATGGAAAGACAGCCTGCAGCCACCAAGTTCTCAAAGGAAAATAACAGCCTCAGTGATCTGCTGCAGGGCCTCTGGGAGTAGAGCAGAGATGAGAAGATACAAACCATCCTCTCTGCTAGGAAACCTGCATGATATCCTTCTGCATTCCCTCTCACCAAAGCTGGACAGTGGCGGGGAACAGGCCACACAGAAAAAGAACCGAGCAAAAGCACCCAAGTTGCAAGATCTGGAATTGTTTGCAGCAACTGTATGAGGGTTTTTAAATAAAATCAGCTGCAGGGAGCAGGGGCACTGTTCCTATGCAGGCTGCAAGCAGGAATTTGTGTTTTACGTGATGAGAAAACAACAATTTCAGCTTCCAGAAACAACCAAGCTTCTCACACACCTGCTACCTGTAAGAACAAAGGCTTGAGCCCGAGGAAAAAAAATATTGGGGGAAAAAAAAAAAAAAAGAAGCAGCTGTTGATTCTGATCTTTCCACTGCTGGCGGGAGCTACACCTCTCTCAGCACTAACAATACCCAAAGACTTGTACCTTCAGCAAGCCAGAGAATAAGAACTCCCTGGGTTTGAAGATCAGCAAGCTTTCAGTACAGACTTTTCTCTCTTTCATGCTCCTGATTTTGAGAGCAAGTAAGCACTGATTAAATGCATTTTGTATGCTTTGAAAGATTCACTCCAGCAACACAAAACCTGCCTTTGGCATGGGAAATGGGGCAGAGACCTTGGCAAAGGGCATGCCCTAAGCCTGTGCCAAAGCTCTGCTCAGGCTGGGGCGGTGTGCTATGGAGCCAGCAACAGCTTGAAACAGCGAGGTAGCAAAAAGCCTAATCCTGACCTGACTGCACCCATGAACCCCCAGGCTGGAGTGGCACAGCCTGAGAGGAAGGACTCACCTCTCCCCTCCGCAGGAGCTTTCAGTCCTGGGTAAGGCAATGCTCTATCCTTCAGCAGTGCTGACCTCAGACAGAAGCCCAAAAATCTGCAGGTTTTCTGGCACATATTCTGCTCTGCATTTATTTCCTCTTTGCAAGTGCTCTCCATTGCAGACAGTTTCCTTGTGGAGGCCTGTGAGGGTGCTTTAAGAAACCAAGTTTTGTTTTGTTGATAATTTATGGCAAGCCTGCAGCTCCCAAACTGCCCAGCATTAGAAAATAGAAGACTGTTATGCTACCCCCCCACCCCAATGGCTTGTGGAGTGATTAAGGATAGCTTTAATTTGAGGCTTGCAACTCAACAGCTCCCAAAGGATTGATAAAATATATACAGCAATCTCCAGTTCCACCTCTGGAGGCCGAACTCTCTCCTGATGATTAACGACAGCTATTTCCTCCCCCTCTCCCTGCTGCTGAAAAAGGCTGATTCCCTGCAAGGTCCAGCCAGCACTGGGCCCACACTCTTGACTACAAAACAGCAACTTACAACCAGAAAAAACCCTCCAAGAAATAGATCCAGCCCCAGAGAGGCAAGATAGAACCAAATAAGCCCAGGATAGATCTTCTAATAAGGAAATTGGAGTAACAGGGTCAGGCTACTTGAGGGAGACCTGGCTGGGCTGGGTTAGCAGTGCTAGCCTAACACATAAGGAACAGGAGCCAAGAATTCCCCAGAGCCACCTTTGAGGCTGCTCCCAGGAAGCAGCAAAGCTAAAGCAGCCTTCCCCTGCCAGCAAAAATTAGTCTCAGCCCAGACAGAAAGCTGCTGCTCAAATGTTACCCTTCTTCAGTGTCTGTTGCTACAGCTTGAGGCTCAAGAGGAGGGCGGTGTGGGTGGGAAAGCAGCACTCATCTAAAAAGCGAGCTGCTGCCTATTCCTCATGCATCCATGTCCTCCACGGTCACCGCATTATCACAGGTGGGCTCCAGGCCAGAGGCAGCTCCAACACAGATTAAACGTCAATAAACTGTGAATATCCCAGCTTCCCAGAAACCCACCTTGCCCAGCCTTGTGTCCAGGAAGGTCTGTTCTCTTATTAAAGAGCAGATGCCAGAGACAAGCATTAGTCATTGCGTAGAAGAAACGACTTCTGCTCTGACTATGACAGGAGTCTGGTGAGGAAAGCAAGCCTCCCAGCTACCACAGCCCCGGGGAATCACACACTTGGGAGAGGAAAAGATCACAACATGCATTTCCAGAAGAGATGGAGGAGGATTCAACAAGAGCAAAGAACTCCCTGAGGAGAGCTTCACTTCCCAGTATAAGTTTTAATATTTATTTAGTACAGGCCCGGTGAAGAGAACTGGGAAATAAGGCAAAGGCAAATTATCCTCCAGAGCCCAAGTTAACATCTCATACACACAGACCATGCAAAGCAGCAGCTGTGCTCCTCCCTGGAGCCACATCCTACATCTTCCCCATCTGCTGGAGCACAGCCCATCTTTTAGAAGTCCAGAAGGAATCGATTGACTTTTTTCAGGTATTCCGACTTCAAGTAATCTCCCAGCTCATCCTTTGTGACCCACAGGTAGTCTTCCTTCAGCTCTGCCTGGGACAAATCACTGCTCTGGAGGAAGGCTTTGAAGAAGAATACTTTGGCTCCCACGTTATCCTCAGTCCTGATGGCCCTGGGGAATTTATACTTGTAAATCCCATGTGGCGCATTCCCCAGGATTTTGGCTTGAATGTGATCTCCTGCAAGACCCCAGCAACACAAGAGAAAGAAAACAGAAAACAAGGCATAAGAACACAGAGCAACAGTAACTGCTCTCCTGTAGTAACAAAAAGGTAGCAAAAGCCACTCCTTGTATCTGGTTCAGACTGACTGTTCCCTCTTCTTAGCAGAAATACTGCCAATTGTAATGTTTTCTCATTAAAACACAACTTGTCCTGGGGTCCAGGAAGTTCTCTCAGAGTGAGAAAGGGAGGGAGAAGGTATCAAGCTTTGCCAACCCACAGTGAAAAGTAAGGACATGTGGGTTTGCCATCAACCATCTGCCGCAAAAGCTGCTACAGCCCTTCCCTACAAAAGAGAGAAAGAGAAGTCATACACCTGGAGCAAGCCTAGACCATTCAGGAGCATCTGGTGATGCTCCAGCTCAGACCACAAGGGTCAGACCTGGCACTGCAGCTGCTGGCAGACAGAGATCCCAACTTGCAGTCCTCCAGCCCAGTCAGGCCCCCCACATGCTACAATTGCTCTACAACAGTACACAGCTACAGAGCCAGTTACCCAGGATCATGCCTCTTGCCAGAAAGCCCACCCCATTGAGCTCCATCCCTCTGCCATGAAATGCCTTCTCCCAGAAGATGGGAGGCAACTTCACTACAGCAGATGACAAATATCCCTCAGATAGGGCACAGGAGGAAAACCACTGGGACAAAGAGGAGGGAGGGCCAGGCACATGGCAAACTACACACCCAAAAACGTAGCCATGGCTCGCTCAGCTGTGCTTCGAAGCGTCTCTCCAGGCTGCCATTCCACTTGAGGCAGGACTGGTTACCAATTTTCTGTTTCACCAGAAGCATCAGGTTACTGTCCAGCTTCCTGTTCAACGACTTTCGATTGTTGCTTTTATCAGCATCTGCCAAAAACCAAATCATGCTGGAAACAAAGTCTCCTGGCAGCACAGCTCTGATCCCCTTGATTGAGCTCTGAGCCCCCTCTCCATCTCACACCCTTCCAGCAATAATACACAAATATGAATTTTCTGTTTCACCAGAAGCATCAGGTTACTGTCCAGCTTCCTGTTCAACGACTTTCGATTGTTGCTTTTATCAGCATCTGCCAAAAACCAAATCATGCTGGAAACAAAGTCTCCTGGCAGCACAGCTCTGATCCCCTTGATTGAGCTCTGAGCCCCCTCTCCATCTCACACCCTTCCAGCAATAATACACAAATATGATACATGGAACAAGACAAAAATCTAGATATAAATGCTCTCAGTTGCTCTGCAAGCCAATGCAGGATTCAGCTGGAACCCACTGCTAGATTGCACTCTCATTTCTAGAAAGAATTTATAGCAAACAGCCTGGATCTCTAGCTTGACAAAAATCAAAAAGAGCACTAGGCAGAGTTTAGGAACCAAGCAAGCAAACTTTTCTCTTGTTTGGAAACAGATTCTATTTTCATCATTTTGCTCTGGTAAGGTTGAACACGCACATCTTCACAGCATGGAAACACTGATTCCCTTATGAGCCAGTTAATTCCTCGTGTGCCAACAGTGCTGACACAGAGTGAAGATGCTCTTTAAAAGAAAAAAAAAAAAGACTCTGTAAGTGCCTTCCCTCCACTACACTCAGTTGTGTAAAAAAGACTCAGTAAATGCTTTCCCTCTACTGAACTGCACTCAGCTGTGTTTGGCAGATGAGTGGGGTTTTCTCACCCACCACAAACTTCAACCTATACCTGTTAGCCGTGGAGCAGCTTTAAATCGCAGTAACTTCTGTTCCCACTTGTCCTCCAGGTCTTGAGCCATAATAACCATTTTGCCAGACGCTTCATCATCATCATACATGCCTTCCTTCCTCCTCTTGAGCTGCTCCTCCTCCTCTAGCCTGCGGATTTCATGATCTGAATAGTGACTTTTCTCCAGCTCTATCTAAAAGGGCAACACAGACAACTGGTAAGGCACCAGCACAACAGGCTGGACTTGGCAAGCAGAATACATTATTTCTACCCCAGTGAATGCAAGCTGATAGGAATTTCCCTGAGCTTGAGCAGAACTTCTCTGCTTGAAACAAGAGCCTCTATCAGGGACACCAACAGCATCGAGAAAGACCACAGGAGCGCTACCAAGACCCATAATAGCTAGTGCAGGCAGCAAATCACACACAGGGGACTCAGTATCATTTCATGGTGGGGAGCAACATCGCCCAAGGTGCCCCCAGCCTGGCTGTGCGGGGCCATCAGCTCCTCCCAGCCTATCACGCCCAGGGGCCACGGCTACCAGCCCAGAGGGTGCCCTCCCCTCCAGGCCTGATGTGACCATTTCCCTGTCAGCAGGCCCCCAGCGCTCTCCCCCACCTGCTCCATGAGGGCTGCCATCTCTTCCTCCTCCTTCTCGAGGGGCTGCGTGATGTGAGGCAACCTC